GGCTGAGAGACCAGATACATTTTAATACCCTTTTATGATACCTTTTATGATGCCCATTTCATACAAATTATTCATAAACATTTTTTAAACAATTTTTTTGCATATCTATAAAAAACCTTTAACAATTAAGTTTAATAGGATTTCTCCGATAGAATTACCACTTTTTCCACTCGTACTAGAAACTGTCGACTAGAAACAATTTTTATACCCATTTTTATACCAGTTTTGATACACATTTCATACACAGTCTTATACACATTTTTTGAAACTCATTATTTTACATATTTAAAAATCCTTCTTTGACATGTTTACAGTTAAACTATTGTTTGCGATTTTTTACACTCCTTTTTTGATTTAATACCCATTATGCATTTAACATATATCACTGAGGGACCAAAAACATTTTTATATCCAATTTTCATACAAATTTTGTATACACATTTTTTTAAACATACATCCTTTTATATATTTATAAATAAACCTGTTTGACATGCACAAAATACATGTATCAATAATCAGAACGCGGCGGGAGAGTTTGTCAATAAACAATAAAAAAAAATAAACAAAAAACGCCGAAGTATGTTATGTCGCGCGGCTGGTCAGACTGGCCAATCGAGATCGTCAAATTAAACATCAACCATATTTCATCAACACGATAACTAGCAAGTCATGTGGGGGCGGGGTAATAAAACGACCAGGTGTCTCAATTATCAGGAGCAATTATGTATACAAATCATCAAAATAAAATAAACAGTCATATAACAAAGGCATTCAATACGATAGGCTAATGACACAATAAAGTACAATAAAAATATCAACACACCTGCATGCCATTTCTTCCATCTTCGCCGTGCAACTCTCCCTCCTAAACAGGCTTCTTCTTTTTATTTTTCTACTTCTTCTTCCAGTACTGTACATACCTGAAAAAAATCAAATGACGCAATATTAATACACCTGCAAAATCAATTTTCCATCTTCGCCGTGCGACGTTCCCTCCTAAACTGATCTTTTCTGTGCTCAAATGATCACGTGACCTATAATGTGTGAAGCGGGAAAATTGTCCGGGGGTTTTCGCCGTACTTCGGTCAACTCTGACCTTTCCATTATTGAAACAACAATAGATTTAACCAAGTGTTCTTTTGTTAAAATAAATATGGCGGGGTAAAATTCCAATCGCAACTTTTCGGCCCTTTCCGTCTGTTTTCGGATAAGGACCTCGGACACGTATGAATACATAGGACGGCTACGGCATTTCGGTCTAACCTACGCTAAGAAACTAAACATGTAAACAAATAGTAATATACATTCATTAAGTTCATTTACTTTCAAGTTAAATTTCAGATACTTAAGTTCTGTTTAACCGTGCCTTCTCCTACACATTACAATGCATCCTCTTACAAATTATTTTATGCTGCATTAATGAGTTAAACTTTTTGTATGTCTCGATACTCATGCGCAACACACAAGAAACATTTACAAAATTGTCGCCCTTGCACATATTTTGAGAATAGCGTCAAGTTAGCGTAAAAAAGACGTTAGCTCTGTGGTTTTCAATACGCTATACATTACCCACAAAGACAGCTGCTTTTTAACAGCAGAATATTAAAAAATATTTGATTCAGATTTCAGCTATTTAAAAACGAAGACGGAAATGTTGTCAAAAGGTATATACGAAATATTTGTAAAAAAAGAAAAGAAACAAAGATGTCTGAGAGTATTATAGTGGGCATGTAGCTCTATTTAATGCAACAGACTTACCGAAATCGATTTTCAAATTAATGTTTTACTCCTTTTATGTATCTTAATTAATTTCAACGAATCAAGTTATATCTTTCTGCAAAGTAATTTTCTTAAAATGAAAATCAATTTTCTTCTAATCTCAGAATTGTTATACCAGTCAGAGATTGCCAGGACAACAGTGAAATCTTTTGTCATTTCAAACACAGTGATGGCGTTGGAGACGGTCATGACAAAGATGCTGATCAAGGAACGGAAGTTGATGCTTCGTATCACGGCATTGTAACCTACTAGTATGCCAGCGTTCTAGAAAAACAGAAAGCTGGAGCGTCGGGCCGAAGAGGAAAGGAAAATTAATCGTAAAGAAATCCGTAAGAGTCGATGAAAGAAACATGGCACGTAAGGTAGATAACTTGTTAAGTTAATTAAAAAGCTAGAAAGCATGCGGTGAAACGAACCCGTTCATATTACGAGTTTTGCAACAGTGTAGACGCTTTCCTTAGACATGTAGAAAAACCGAAAGTTTACATCAAATATTCCGAAAGGGGAGATGGTGTGCAACGCGAGGGGTTTTACAGTTTTGGTGTTAGACCAGCAACTATTAAATGTAAAACGTGCCATTATTGGATATGGCTTACATGTTTCCAGCAGAAGTCACCTGCAAGAATATATTCAAACAATATCTTTAGCACATGATGATATGCTACGCCAAAAAAGCAAACGACAATTTTCGCCATATTTCAACTGCTAGCAATGCATTGACATGTACAGATCCGAAACCATTTGAATGTGTCAAATTTAAGCCCGAGTTGTGACGTATAGTTACAAAAGACATGTCAATGATCATAAAAGAGAGACATCTGCATGTAAGATATTCAAGAGCCACTATGCACGTGCATTCACGAACGCCAACATTGTCTCTGCCATTTAAAGGAATACACCATTTCATGCACTGGATAGACTTAATCTGGGGTGGGGCCTCCGTGGCCGAGTGGTTAAGGTCGCTGACTTGAGATCACAGGTCCATCACCGCTGTAGGTTCGATCCTCACTCGGATCGAAATCGTTCATGTGAGGAAGCCATCCAGCTGGCTTATGGATGGTCGGTGGTTCTACCCGCTCGTGCCTGAAAAAATGCCCGAAGGGGCACCTGGGGTCTTCCTCCACCAATAAAGCTGGAAAAAAAATCGACGAAAAAATCTCGGCGGGACGCTCTAGGATGGTCCGACTTGAGTGTACGGTCGCCCACATGGGTTTTCCGGCGGCGACCTTAAATAAACGCATTTAAAGAAAAAGAAAAAGACTTAATCTATAAATTTCAATTTGCGTGCCTGTCAAATGTTCAAACACTAATGTTAACTTACCTGCAGAAAAATTTTCAAACTGCACAAATCCATCATGGAGAGATACAAAAAAAATCAACAGACGACAATTGTCTTGGATACCGTTTACTTCCGGTATACTGTCTGTTGACATTGAAAGATTCATTTGGCATTATTCCACATTACACCTTTTTATAACAAGTACACGATCAAGTTTACGCTTTCAGCATAGACAGACGTATCTCTTTTGAATACTTAAAACCTAAGCAAAAATATTTGCTCACTATTAACGAGAAACCATCAAGTAGATCGCCTAATCCAGTTGGTGAATTTTCACGGTTCTCAAAACCAAGCCTTGAAGACGAGCACGCGGCGCAAAACGTCCACACGCGTACGTTTTGCGGTACGGACGTTTTCCGGTGTTACAATGCTGTTCGCTTACAAACCCTATTACAAGTAGAGAAACTGATAGCGAACAGCATGGATCCTGATCAGACTGCGCGGATGCGCAGGCTGGTCTGGATCCATGCTGGTCGCAAACCCATTATGTTGGTTTTGTCGTGGCGCGGCTCAATTTTTTTTTGGCTACAATAGCAAAGTAGTTTTTATCCTATGGATTTTGCATATTTAACACGAGTAAACTTGAAACATAGCTTTCAGAGTGTTGGTCGTGTTTCTCATGTGCACTCTATGAGACGCATCTGGAATTCCTTTAGACAGCTGTACCAGTATCGTTTTCATTTAATCACTGCAATACAAACAAAAATAAAATTAAATTTATTTTGTGTTTCTTTCTTTCAGGCCTCCCCAAAATTTACAGGAAGGACAAAGTCAGCGATAAGATCTGTATAGTGAGATAATGTACAAGTGACATATGTGTTAATTATGTAAGACACTGATGCTCATTTTTTAGTGACATTGTACAGTGAACTATATGTGTTAACTGAATAACACAAACTTGACAATGATGGACCTCTCAAGTGACAATATAATGATTTAAGAAAGTATTAATATACATGATATATGTATTAATATTCAAAGTGCTGATTTTATCTTCTGAAATACATTTAATGTCTTAACCCATTACTGCATGAGCTTTTTGTGAAAAATGGCTGTTTTCATTGAAAAGTCTCCCGTTACAATTCAAATTGCTATAAAACTATAAAAACTGCTTCAATACTAATCAAAGTGGGCGGAGCCGAAAAAGGGGTCACTTTTTCAAACAACATTTCTCAAACAAAAACAAATGTTGGGGGCTAAATAAAATGTAAAACAATAAAGTATAGAATGTCAAAGATATATTTTGCCTTTTCAGCTCGACTTTTTTTTTTTAAAGTAGAGGTATTGTTACAGTCATGTCAGCGTTGCTGTAGCCGTTGCCGTCGGAAAACTTGTATATTGATCATAACTTTTAGTAGAGCAAACTTACCTTGACCTTCATCCATAAATGACCGTGACCTTCAAGGTTAATGTCAAAATTTTGCTTGTTATTTGCTATAAGTGGCTATAACTTAAATTGTATATAAAGTAAATATTTTTTTCATATTTCTTTTAAAAGCATATAGAGACGATACTCTTTAATATATAAAGGTAAATTATTCCATACTTGCATTGCATTATTACTAAAAGTTAACATTTAACATATTTTGTATTAGATCTTACATATATTATGTTTCTATTTGTAGTTGATCTAATATAAGTGTATACGTTTCATTTTTCGAGAACACTATATATGCTATCTGAAATGTAGGAAGGAGCCAACCCTTGTATAGAATGTTCAAAATCTTATTAGCCAAAACAAAACGAAAAAGTAAAAGTGTGTGAAACGAAACCATATACACCTCTACGACACTCTATACCTTGTAAGTTTTCTATCTTTTTGGGTTGATCTTGTTTATCATATTTTAACACCTTTTCGTTATTCAATATTCTTTCGGTTAATGTGACGTCATTTCCGTATTCCGTTCGGAATACCGAAGTTTTTAACCGTTGAAAGTAGATTTAGAAAATTTTCTATGGAATGTACAGATGAATGCGTTAATTTCATGACGTTATGACAAAATCTAAAGGTATTTTTCTTTACTTCTCAAGTGCGGAGGAAATTTTAATGTCGAAACACTGGTTTAGAGCGTTCAACGGCGTTCGACATGTTTCAACAGCAACCGGAAGTAGATTATTGTGTACATAATTGCTATGGCTTCATTTTAAAGAAATGATTTTTTCTCACTTTCATTGTTGGAAAGTATTTTCAAGAAAGAATATAAGATATATGTAACGAGTAAGAGAGCGTTTTGACACTCGTATTCTATCCTCCATGATAATATGCAATTTGGCATTCGCTGAGTAGCACGGACATGTTGAGGGGGGGGGGGGGGGGGGGGGGGGGTCATACCTACTTGTATACTGGGTTCCTAAATTCCTATGATATCATGGGTTCTATGATATGGGTGGGAGTGGTTTCGTCTAACTACCGGTTCGTCTAACTGATCTTATATAGTAAAACAGGTAGTGGTTTCGGCTAACTTAATTTATATAGTGAACAATAGCTATTGTATAATGGGCACATCAATTATCGCGGGTCTTAATGTGTGGTTTATCACACATTTTCATGCAATTAAAGACAAGATATTGAAAATTTAAACATATTATTTATTCTTTTCTTTAGTATAATAATGATATTTACATAAAATAATAACACAAGATCTCAGTGAACAAACAACATCATAGAAATATATATACGTTTAAAAGTACAACCTGAAAAAAAAACTAAAGAGTCAACACAAATTACATTTCACACAAGTTTATTTTTATAATCTATGTCAAACTATATATACAAATAGTTAAAGCTGAAAAAAAATGCTTTTAATCGGAATAAAATCGACATATATACTAAAAAAAAAGCTCGAAAGATTACGTAATTATTATAAACAACCCATATTTTTTAAAAATACTTTATTTTTCTCTATATAAACAAATGAGGTATGCATATTATTCAAAAGAATACATCATGATTTCTATGTAATAAACAACAATCTGTTTTTATTCTTTATTCACCACTCAAAAGATAACTGATCGGCTGATAAGACAAACAAACTTTCTCTGTCATCAATTATAAACAATTGATTTATTTCGTTAACCAAGCCCTAACTAAACAATTAATTTTGCAAACAAAATAATATTGTTTTTTTTTGTAATTTATTCTTGACTCAAAAATAATTTATCAAATAACGAAAAAAACTTTTCAAAATAAGTATAATATATAAACATACTTCTACAATATAATTATTATATTCATTAATGATATTTGCGTCATAATTTAATTATAACAAAATATTGATGATAAAAACACTATATATATATGAACCACGTCTACTAGCTTTGCCTTAATTACTATATAACATCTGTTAGACGAAACCACTTTCGCACCTCTTCATAAATTCAGTTAGCCGAACCGGTAGTTTGACGAAACCACCCTAATTCCTATGATATCACGGTATTTACATTTTCTGTGGCTGCCAGTAAAAGCAACATAGGGTGATGCTAAATATTGGCAATATCCTGGAATAGTCCCAAGGGGACTATTCTTTTCCTTCCTTTTTTAGCTCGACTTTTCTATGAAAAGGGGAGCTATCCTACTCGCCCCGGCGTCGGCGTTAGCGTTGGCGTCACACCTTGGTTAAGTTTTTCGTACCACCCCACTTTATTTCAGAAGTATTACAAGTATGGCTTTGAAACTTACCATACTTGTTCACCATCATAACCTCCATCTACAGACAAGAGTACATAACTCTGTCAAGGTTTTTGACAGAATTATGGCCCTTTTTTGACTTAGAAAGTGTATTGAGCTTGGTTAAGTTTTTTGTACCACCTCACTTTATTTCAAAACCATTGGAGGTATTGCTTTGAAACTGACCATACTTGTTTACCATCACGACCTTCATCAACAGACAAGAGGACATAACTCTGTCAAGGTTTTGACAGAATTATGCCCTTTTTGACTTAGAAAATACATTGAATATGGGTAAAATCCACTTATTGCCTTAACCCTTTGAGATATTGCTTTGAAACTTTTAATGCTATTTCACATCATTACCCCATCTGTACGCAAGAGAAGGTAACTCTGTCAAGGATTTGTTTTAAAAATTAAGGCCTTTTATCGACTTAGAATCTTGGTTAAGTTTTTAGTAACCAGTCCACTTTTTGACTGAACTGTTGAGATATTAATTTGAAAGTTGGAATACTTGTTTACCATCATGGTCCCAAAACATGGGCAGGAGAAGGTAATTCTGTTAAGGATTTTATTTGAATTATGGCCCTTTTTGACTTAGAAACTCAGTTAAGATTTTCATTCTTGTCCACTTGTTGACTTAACCATTTGAGATATTACTTTGGAAGTTGGAGTTCTTATGTGCCATCATGAGACCTATCTGTAAGCAAGAGAAGATAACTCTGTGAAAATGTTTCTTGATTTGTACTTAGAAATTCCTAGTTAAAGTCTTGTGTGCCCTTAACTGTCAAAGTTTTGTTTTATAGGCAAGCACTAAAAAAGTCGAGCGCGCTGTCCTTCTGACAGCTCTTGTTACCACATGTAACACCATTAAGGTGATTCCGCTTTGTCAGCCATGTTTGTTTTCACAAAGTCTGTCCAAAGTGAAAGTAGGCCAAAATTCATATAACAACAAAGCTCTTATTGTAAAATGATGAACCATTGAAAGTACACTTCCAGGTTTATATTTTAAGGACAATTATAAACAAAAATAAAAATGATAACAATAAGAAAATTTACCTTGAATGGGCTAAATTTCTGAAGACCAAAAACATTCTGTTGCAAAGTTGTATGCACATTTCATGAAACATACATGATTATTTATATTAACATTATTTTATTAAAAAAATAAAGTCTCCGGGTACAGTATAATGGGATTATATATATAGAGAGAAACTTTTTTTATTTTAATTTTGTTGTTTTCTTAAAAATATCATTTATTTCATAAATTTACATTTTTGAATAAAAATTGAAAAATATATATATATTAATATAATTATAAGCTTTTATTGGTCGTATATAAGGAATGAAGACTATTTTAGTGGAAAAAGATAAGTCCCTGGTGACTATTCTTTCAATAGGAAATGCTGTTCATAAATGATCCCCGGGTATTACCGAACACTTATAAAGGTGAAATAAGTAGTATTCGGTAATACACGCAGTAATCATGATTTTCAATTGACATTTGATGAATATGAGTTTTCCTTTACATGTGCATGCAAGAAACACTTATCTACGCACATTATCTAATGAGTTATGACATTTCATATATTAGACCTGACCGCTTCTATTACCGACCATATGCGTGTAATACCGAACATACATACGTGTATTTCCGAACACTGCCAACTTTTAAAAAAAAATGTTAATCTTCACCTGAAATATAGATAAGTTTAAAACAAATCATTTCACTATTGATGTAAGCAATATATGTTTCGCAAGTATTCACTATTGAACAATTATAATTACCAGAGACATAGATAACATGTTAGATTACGTGTTCAAATGTGTAAATATTAAATCATTTAAAGACCAATTAATTTTATACAATAACAGCTGACATGATGTGATCTTAACAATATTTGTACTCAAAAGAGGTACTTGATAGATACTCAGGTAATTTGAAATCTACGTAGATCTGTATTCTTTAACTCCTCCTCAAGGTTGTGTTTGAAATCAGAAAACCATCTTTTAACCTTTTCTGGGGACAAAATTGATCTCTCTCCCCCTCTCTCTCTCTTTTCCAAGCTGAATAGTTGTACGAAGGGTCAGTTCAGGGTTGCGGCGAAAGTAACCCTCCAGCCAAGATCTGCCGGGTTTGTTTTCACGAAAGACTGTTCAGCGACCTTCACCATAAAGTATTTTCAAGTTCAAGTGTGTGCAAGCTCTTGTCTGGTGCCTCCATAGCCGATAATTACGACATGTACATGACCAATTCAACAATACGTCTATCTTCAGACTTATTTAGAACTGTTCATCTTATGACCAGTGTATTTCATAGGGACAGTATTGTGAGGGTGGACTTTGGAATCCCATCATTTTTTTGATGCTTGGTTTTCAACTAACATAGTTTAAACGAACTAATTCAGCTACATGGTCAAGCATTTAATTCTGCTAAATAACGCTGCCGTTTTGCGTTTATCTGCTTGCTCATTCATAAAAAGGAAATTAAAAGAAATTGTCTATGTCTGTCTGATCATTTTTTTCTTTTTCCAGAGCTATTTATTTGTTTAGGCTATCTATTTATTTGTTATTCTAATTTTATATGTACTTATTCATTTATTTCTCTTTCTACATATATCTTTTTGATTGGTTGAATGAAATAATTAATTAATTAATTTATTTATTTATTTATTTATTTTAATCAACTGATTAATAATTGATTATTTATTTCATGTTTCTATTTATTTATTTAAATGTATAAAATTATTCATTTTGTATTTAGATAAATAAATTCATAACGTTATAATAATGATAAGTGTTGTTTTTATCATTGTAAACATTGTGTTCGGTAATACACGCATGACAAAATTTAACTGCTTGTAATTCCGAACATGCAAATAACTCAGTAAATAAATATCTAAGTGACATATGGAGTTATTTTCCATATCACAGTACATGTATTAGTTTCACAAATAACAAGAAAAATATGATTTATCGAAATCACGAGACCAGATAACCTTATGACGTCAGGTATCTAAAATTAGAATATTTGTAACGGAGCACATACTTGTCAAGCGTAGTAGTATTTTAGTCTTGGAAATCTTTGTTTTGTCTAGTATCACGTTTGAAATATAACAGATATGTCGGGAAAGGAAGTGACATCATGTTTCTGATGTCACTGCCTTATTAGAAGAATATTAAGAAGGTTATGGTGAGAAAAAAAATGTGTTCGGCAATACACGCACGTTCGGTAATACCCACACCCGCTCTACAAAAAAAAATCTGTAATGGATACTACATTTATACTTAATGTATCAACCAAAATGTATTTTTCAAGACATGTAAAAATATTTATGGATGGCACTGTAAATATTTTAACTGTAATTGTACAAAACCATTTATTTTGAAGTTTTAAATGCTAAAGAAAAAAACTCTGGCGTGGGTTCGATCCCCGGGAGATGCTTTGGTAGTTTAGCGCGGAGGAAGGCAGTCTAGTACAGGTGTAACTCTACAGGAACGATGGTTAGGAAACTACCGCCTATATGACTGAAATACTGTTCGTAAAAGGCGTAAAATGAAACAAACAAACAAAGAAAAAAAAACAAGAAAAATAAAACACTTAGGTGATCAACAACACATCTGCGTGGACAGTTTTTTCTGTTATCAGAGCGAGTTAAAATTGTAATCAAAATAATGCTTGTTTTTAAAGTAATGACTCCACTTTTTCAGATATAGTGTCTACACACATAGTTTCATGTTTATTCTCTTCACAATCACTTGTTTGCACGTGCAAATGGGTCCTTCATTTTCGATGTGCGAGATTTTGCTCAGTGCTGAGAACTCACTCCATATTTCAAAACTGAAAATAGCAAAATAAAATGTTCAACATTTTGGCAGCAAGCAGATCTTACCTTTACAGGCACCTACAAAAAAAGTGTGTGCCAAATCCTGAAGAGGTTTCTGTAACTTATTTTGAAATTGTTTGGAATTGTTGACCAATGTAAACTTAAATTCAAATTTTTTTGTTGCATATTGTATTTCTAATGATTCATTAGAATACCCTATGCAACAAAAAAATTATAAAAGGGATTTGCCCTGCAATTAAGTTCTTTTAATTGTAAGTTTAGGTGTTTCATTACCATAACAGTGAGAGTCTTAGGAAAAATGTGCATGTCCAGGCAATGCTCTCTATACTAGTGGTATAATTTCTTGCAATACTGCATCAGTCAGCATACAAAAGGGTTTATAAATTGATAAATTTTTATCAATGAAATAAATGGACTTTGGCCCCTGAAACCTCTTTCTGTTTGTCATTCTATTTTGTTCTTATATTTGAACTTGATGGTATGTATAATCATTGAATAAAATGTCTTTGGCTGGTAAATGATTGAACATTTTCTGGCAACTTTTCAAAATATAAAACCCACCTAGACTGGGTCAATTTAATGGTTTGTCCTACATAACTTTTTATTTTGTAACCGGTACATTGAAAAGTTTACATATTATTAAGAAAATGTTTATGTTTGTACTAGTATTTGCATTTTAATGAGTGTTTTGAAAAATAAAGTTTTTAATTATTTATACAGGATTTTGCTGACTAATATCTTTTATGGAAATTAAATGTTCAATTATTAAATCAAGGTGAAGGTCACAGGTATTATGATATTCTACTGTTTAATGAACCAGCTGGTAAACTTTTCAATAACAGGAAATTCTATATGACTTATATATTTCAAAAAGATTAATTTTTATACTTTTTTTGTACTATCATTATCACTGGATATATTTTGGACTACATTTCTTTGCTTTTTCATGCAATTCTAAATTGTATGGTGAATCATTTTTGTTTAATATTGAACAAAATTAAAAAAGATATTCGATAACATTTATAGCTTACAGGTACATTTTAAGCATTGAATTGAACTATAAGCAATATTATCATTGTTTCTGTTCAGTTAATAATATGATGAATTGTCTACAATCAATATAAGTACAATAATATATTACAACTTTGTGTTCGTTACATTTTGTGAATGACCATACTGCACACCACTAATATTGTACTATGAGGCAGGGCTTTTTACCACAGATAGAGGAAGGGGTCCTACCCTTAAATTTGGGGAAATATTATATATGGTATGTTTGCAAAAGGGCAGAAAACTTTACGTAAAATTTAACCTTAGGAGAAAACTGCATGATTTTAAAGAATTTTGCAGAAGGGGAAAGGCCTATTAATGGCCCCATGCAGCTAAATGTATATGGAAAGAAAAACTTAGGTTATCAATAATTTTAAGATACTGTTGATTTATTGTGCATTTATTGGTATGCATTTTTTTTTTCAGGAAACAAAATGGCTCAGTCCAATAACAACAATAATGACCTGAGTCTGTCTGCGTCACCTGATGGACTACCTGTGCCAGGCCAAGATATGCTACCATCAGGACTCAAACCCAAACTGGATCTTATCTTCTCTGAAGTGGAGAAGAAACTACCAGATATAGACTTTGACTTGTCAGATGTAAGTTACTTATTTCTTGTATATCAGACAGATTTTTCTTGCATATCAGACTGGCGTTTCCGTGAGTTTTACCCATGCCGGAAATTTCATCTGGCATGGGAGGTGCCAGATGGGTCGCGTGCTGTACAATGGCACGCTTAGGATGACGTCATTTTACCGTTATGAATGAAGTTGTCATTCATACGCTGATGTAAGAAAGTAGTTATGGTTGTTATGATACAAATTTCCATTGAAATTAAGGATAATGAATTTAAAATATAATGGAATATGGAAGAATATGCAAGAAAAAATATCTGACATATGTTTGCGGTTCGGATCGGAATATCCGTCCCTCGGTCACCCGCCCATGGGTGGTAACTCGGCAAGCCTCGTTACCGCCCAATTGGCGGTTCACCTTGGGACGGATATTCCGATCCGATCCGCAAAATATGAGAGATATTATTAATCTACTGTTTACACCGTTGCTAGAAAAACCTATCTTACACCCCCCTGCGTAAATCAAGTTGCTTGCATCAAATGGTGTCATTCACACATGAGCCTTTTATGAATGAATTGTATTCCTAGGATCATAAATTTTGCCATCATGAAGTTGTTAATTCATATGCTACTATAAGAAACAAGTGCTAAATGAAAATATTAAAGCTACAGTTTCCAGAATATGATTAATATGTAATATGCAAGGAAAAGAAACAAACACCTGCTGTTGTTATAGATGGTTATATCTAACTCTTGTGTAACTGTTTAGCGGAAACTAATGGTAAAGCTTCGTTTACTGCCATAAACAGTCTCCCTCACTTAGCTAGATATTTCAGTCTGTACCGGCAGCTGGTGTAAGGTTCTTACATTTTTGCTTTTGATGACTCTAACTGATCTGACTCAATGACTCAATTGTTGTTGTTTTTTTAACATTTTATGAGGAAGGGCACTGATCAGCTGATGATGTTTTTTGTTGTTGTTTTTTTGGTAGGGAAAATCTTGGCATATAAGGGTATAAAGAAAAGTACTAGTTTGATGGTTGTATTACCATTTCAAATGAAAATAAACTGAAGTTTTATCATCATCTTGTGTGCTTCAAATGTTTTTTTTTTCTTTTTTTTTTTTTTCTTTTTTTAAATAGTTAATTCAATATTTGTTAGTGAATAACTTTGTATCTAAAGTGACTGTCTACTGAAGTTTCACCACAATACTTTTGTTTCTGTCAAATAGTAATTCAAAATATTATATTTAACAACAACATACAGTAACTTGTATATATATTTTCTCAATCTAGGAATAACTCAATCCTTTACTCAGTCAAATTGCTTTTCTCAAAAAAGTTTAAGAAATACATAATACAACTTATTCTTTATGGTCAGTCTTTGGTACAAATTACATTTGTATGTGTGGAAAAAACAAAAGTGAAAGGTCCTGTTGTTTATTAACAATAAATTTTACATATATTATTTAGGTTGATTCTGATAGCGAGGAACCACTGATATTTCACCAACATTTGAAATCACTGGAGGAAGATAAAGATTTAGACACCAGTCAGGGTAGTGATACTCTAGCTGATATTGCTTCATTCAATGATAATAAAGGTAGGTTTATCATGTTTTTAAAGCTTCAACCTGCTGGAACAGAAAGTGGTTAACCTTTTCTACGAGTATAGTGCAAGGCCAGTGTGTGTTTGGGTTTGTTTACCCTTGCCATTGGAAAGAGACCATATTGGCAAGCAAGGCCAGTCTGCACACCAATGCAGTCTATACTGTTGGCAGACTTACTACTGACTCCAACATTTCATATTGATATCAATGAAATTTAAAACAGACATGGAAGCTGAAAAGTTCCATTTAAGAAATTCCACAGTTTAAGAGTTCAGAATTTTTATAGATTGTCATGTATAAATATCTGTAATGCAATTGAATTTTTTTATAGTTTAAAGAATTGAAGGTTACATGACCTGACACTTCGAACACAATTATGGATATTTCTGATTTCCAAATGTTTTGCCGTATAATGAAGTATATTATTGTTGTTAAAGTCTTATAAATATGAAACTGTATCTCTCTTAAACAATAATGAACTATTACAACTTTTTAAAATGTATTTAATTCATTATTTTGATAGCTAAAGTGACAAGCGGAAGCCCTGTGACATTCTTTGATAATGACATTGCCTATGAGTTTCAACGTACCGGTATTAACATAGCTCCGCCCCCTGTTTCATCCTGGGCCGACATTCCAGTGCCAGCAGAAAAAGACAAAAACAAAAAGGAGAAAGAGGTCTCATCCTGGGGTGAAATTCCTGTAAAAAAATCAGTGTCTTGGAATGATATGCCTAAATCTGACAATGATATGCCTAGAACAGATAATGATATTTCTAGAGCAGATAATGAAATGCCTAGACTGGAGAGTGACATTGACAATAGATATGCAACAGAAATCTATGGACAGTTAAGTTTGAATAGTTTAGATGATAAATTGATTCAGAAGAAACTGCATAGAGAGGCAACAAGGAATAAAGAGAAAGACATAGCCACAAATCTGTTATCACCTAGAGCACCAGTTTTATCCACACAACAATTAGACAACATTGATCTTGGTATGTTTTATTAAATAAGTTAAAAAGAAATGTTAAACTAAGGTAATGCCATCTGTTTACATAAATTAGAATATTTATATGTCTAGTACTGGTGTAACTCTCCAGGAAAGATGGTTAGGAAACTACCCGCCTATATGACTGAAATACTGTTGGGGAAAAGGCTTAAAAATGAAACAAACAAACAAATATGGAGATTTCATTTGAAATTTTTTTGACAAATATATATAAATTCATGTTGTTTGCTGAATACTACATATTTTTGTCACTAAAATTTTCAGTAAATCATTGATAATTTAAAGACAAACTCATCAAGTTATTACAAAGCCAGAAATATGATAGATCAGTTTAGATAGTAAGAGCAGTAAATGTATAGACCACTGTTACAATGTTTTCTAAGCATAATGCTATTACATTTAAAATGTTTTTAAATTTATTATTTTACGCTTGACAAGCGGAACCTGTGAATTCTTTGATAATAAAACGCCTATAAGTTTAACACGAACCGGTATAACATAGTCCAGTTCATCTGGTAAACATTTTACAGGACAAAAACAAAAAAAACTTGTGACTTAAAAAAACCAGTGTTTGGAATGATATGACTTCTTCAATGATTCAAACTATTATTTCAAGCTAAAGAAATATACATTCTTGCAAAACCATGGCAGTTCCTGTATTAATGTTTAAATTATTCAGGACTCTGAGAGCATCAAAATTAAGAAAACATAGCACAAAATCTTTATTAGGCCAAAAAAACATTGGCAACTAACGTTTACTTTTATGTGTATGCCATTGTTACATAAACTGAATTATTAACGAGATTTCATTACATTTATTAAAAATAAATTAACCTATTTTTCTGGTACAGTGTACTCAGTTTTCCACACTAAATTTTTTCATTTAAATTCAAAAATTCAAAACATACTCATATTTTGACAAGTCAGCATATCTTTAACCAGTTTAGGAAATAAAAGCGTAAAGTCTAGAACTGTTTCAAATCTTTTCCGAATTTAATAATGAAAAATTCTTTGTTTGTATTTACTTAATCAATTCAGTAATTTCATATTTAATATTACACAGAAAGACCAGTTTTAATGTATATTTATGTTTTGGTAAAATTCTAATAAACTTGTGTTTAAACCAAGTTAAAACTAGGAACTGTAATACATGTAATAGTTATACAACAGATGTTAATCACTTTTCCTTATTTATGTTTATCTTTACTTTTGTTGTGTGTGTGTTACAGATAGTTTATTAGAGAGTTTAAACACAGACAATCAGACGGCACCACCGTTACCACGTCAGGCCTGGTCCGATCATTCTAGACCAGATTCACGCCTCGGATCAGGTGAAGGGAGGCGATCAGCTGCAGGTGATTATTAAACAAATAATTATGTTACAAGGTATTGCCATGTGTCAGAATAATATATCATGTGGAATGACGGGTCATTGTATTTGTGGTGTGATATTTCTGAAATATACTGCCGAGCAGTATACTTAATACCACAAATTTACATTGTTTACTGTATCGTGTAAGATTGAAATGCTAAAATGAAATACACATAGAAAAATTAGAATTACATCAGTTGATAGAATATGATAACCTCTCGCGAAGATTTTTGTGCTCAAGTTACTCATTTTTTTGTTGTTGTTGTTTTGCATGCATTTCATGTACCAGGATTAAAAAAGATTTTGTTAACATTTCATTGTTAGCAAATGAGCATATTTCTACTGTGTGAATCTTTTTGTAGGAAAAAAATAATGCAATTTATTTATTTTATGCATAAACTAGTTGACTGATGACATCTGATATTTTGTCATTTTAGAAAGCAACTCAGGTATGACTCTGATTCAGAAACTGGCTCAGATGTCAATGAGCCCAATATGGTGAAGATCTATCTGACATAGACCCTACCACTGGTGCTACCAGGAGGAAGGACAAACATAATAATAATAGGTCCCAGGTAGATAATAAGATGGAGTCGGATGACGATGTTGATAATGAGTCAGAGGTTATGTCTGGAGGTCAGGGGTCAAAGTATGAGACTAAAGAAACACCCGGTGAAAAGTGGGCAGAGAAATGTCAGCCAGTAAAACAAGAAGGTTAATATTTTTATATTAGAAGAATATATGTTTAATCATTTACTTACTTACTTAAAAATAAAAAGAATAAAAGTTTTGTATGCAAGTTTCCTGGTTGCAGTTGATAAGTGGTCAAAAACCAAATTAATGTATGTTTTAGGTAAGTGGTACAAAATTATTTGACAGACTGAACTTCTTAGTTATGGAGAGTCCCTTTCCATTTGGCAGTGTGTAAAACACTAAAATTTTAAACCAGTCATGATCATAATAAAGGCATTTGTAGTGTCTTGATGTAACACAATTCAGTTTTATTTTTGAATTACCAATTTATTGAATATTACTGTTATATAACATTCTAGCACCGAAGAAGCAAACTGCATCATGTGGAACCAATACCAATGACAGGCAACCATTACGTATCATTACACCAAGGGTACCACCCAAAACACCACCACCAGTCCAAGCTGCCACTAAACAAGAAGGAATGGGTAAGTGGATTATCGTCTTGTAATGATGTCACAGTCACGATCTTTCCAGGCCAAGTTAGAAGTTTTATACCAGAAATAAAGTTCTTTCAATAATGTTATGAATGCATTAATTCTGTGCTTATAAATAAAATGCTGGGGGTGGCCTGGCCGAGTGATTAAGGTTGTTGACTTCAAACTATTTACGCTCATTGCTTTGGATTCGAATCCTGACAGAGACTTTGGATTCTTTCATGTGAGGTAGCTATCCAGCTTCGGGATGTCATTGGTACTACTTAGGTGCCTGTTTGTGCCTGAAATAATGCATGGAAGGGCATCTAAGGTAAAGCTGGAAAGTCACTTTATGAGCTATAATAGGTCATATAGTGACTTTCCAGCTTTATCAGGCTATATAATGTGTTGATGTGACGTAAAACCCAACCAAAAAACTAAAAGTAGAATGCTGAAATTTATCTGTGAGAGAAAAAAGTTACATCTCACTTCTTCATAATATGTGTAAATACCTGTTCTTTTTAAAGATAAAATAGACAGCAGAATGGAGAATAATTTCACAATAACATCATTAAATTAAGTGTAATTACTGGAAATGTTCGATGAAGTTGTAAAATAAGATTTGTTAATTTTAATGAATAATATTTTTTTTGTTAACTAATAAAGGCTTTGGGGCTGTCAGAATGTCTTTGGTTTGAATGGGGTGGGGGAAACAATCCCACTTTCAGGGGTGTCTGTGTATGACTTTTAACCACCCTGTGTTTCACTAAACCTTATATCATGCAGGCACCTCATGTTATCTCATCTTTGTTAACTTTAGAAAGTTACTACTACCTGTGGATGTGCTTTTCATAAAAGTATCAGTTTTAATACTCTGAAGTAAATAAATATCATTTACTTATATTGGTCATATATTTTCTGTGTTCAGTTGAGGGACTGAAAGGAGACAAGGAATCCACAGTGTTTATAGATCTGAGAAATTTTGAACAGATCAGGCAAGAGCAACAGCAGAGTATAGAGAGAGTACAAAAAGTTCTTGGCATTCAACCAGAATCAAGGTATCATTAATGCTGCAGATTTGTTTGATTTTCCTTTTTGTTTATGATAACTATAATAGATTACAATTAACTTGTTACAGATTGATTTTAAAACACACTGTGTCATTATGTATAATTTTACATTTGCCTCCCAATTGTGTTTTAAGTGATTTATATAAATAAGTTGGCAAAAAAGAGGAAAATGTTTCTTGAGAATCCTCAGAACATGAGAAAGTTGACTGACAAATATATTGACTAAAATATTAATAAAAACATTTTATAAATCAGGAATTTTAATAAGTTATTCAATTTTGTTTCACATTGTGTTGATAAAAATGAGATAAAATCTTAAAAGAAAATAAGAAGATTTGGATCAGTTCCATTGTTGGTTGTCTTTGAGATAAAGTTTCTTTGAAATAAGGGATTGATTGAGACTACAATATGGATTTTCATAATACTAAACACTTCGTATCTGAAAGAGGTATATTTATTGAAATGCTATTCTTTTTACTTATACTCAGTAAAGTTTTGACTTGTATTTCTCTCAGAAGTATGAATGTTTTTTGTCCATATGAAAAGTGGCTACCAAAAGACTTAGCATTATCCCTCAAGTGCAGATTCAATTAAACCAAGTCTGCTGCAATTTCCATGTAATTTTGTTGTGATTAATGCTTCCGAAGGGATCACACTTCATCCAGATTTTTTTGATTTTTGTTTTTTTCACAAACCTAAATGGTTCAGTTGTTAATAAAATTGTTGTAGTAAAAATACTGAATAATGCCTCAAAGGCGCACAATGATAACTATAAGGGGTATGTTATTATTAGGAGATATATACATGTATATAGATAGACAGCTAGTATCTTTGATCAATATGATTATCTGATAATACTTGGAATTATCACTACTTGAAATGATAATTGAAAGAAATATGATGCTAAAGGAATCTCTATACAAATGTTGTACAAGGTTCTGGAGATATAAAAAATTACAGGAGACTTGTGTTAATTAACACCAGCAGAATTTTTCCATAATCAATAGCAGTTTTCTTATTTTGCTTGTTGAATTGTAAATGTAACGTTTAGTTTTGTCGGAGAAGAAAAATTTGTTTTATTTCTGTTTATTTTACATGTGTAAGAAGGAACTTGAACTGAATAAATCCTGGATATGTTTTAATTGAATTATAACAATATGAATCTGGTAAATTTTAGTTTCTTATTGTGTTGACAATTTTTAACATTTGTGACTGTTGGAAGCAGAACTTAGAAAGTTTGTTGACATAATTAAACATATTTTTGGCATATTTATACAGAGTTGTAGTTGACTCTAGTGATTCGGACGAGGATGTGGAGGACTGGAAAGAACAACGTCAGAAATTCAAGCAACATACCGTATCTAGTGCTAAATCAACGAAGAAAACATACACTGCCAATGATAAACCACCTGTGTAAGATATATTCATGTTGTTTGTATTTCTGATACAGAATTTAGAACCTGAATTTGTATGTCCATGTTTTGCCCAACCTTTTTATACATGCATCAGAAAGTTGATTCTTTGACTTGGTGGTAAGAGCATTGGAGTTACAAGGTGAACATTGTTGTAGATATGAGCTGCGTCACAACAAAACCAACATAGTGCGTTTGCTACCAGCATGGATCCAGACCAGCTGCGCATCCGCGCAGTCTGATCAGGATCCATGCTGTTCGCTTACAAACCCTATAGCAAGTAGAGAAACTGAAAGCGAACAGCATGAATCCTGATCAGACTGCACGGATGCGCAGGCTGGTCTGGATCCATGCTGGTCGCAAACGCGCTATGTTGGTTTTGTCGTGATGCGGCTCATTTATGGATCATGTCACACTGTAAACTGTTTGCTTTTAGAAATATTGTACGATTCTGTTGCGATCCAAAGGTTTTTAATTCAAATTAAAGCTTATAAAATATGTTTATGAAATGTTCATGGAATTTACATATCAAAATGTTTTTAAGTAATAATTTTTAAGTTTTTTCCGTTCCCAGACAAAAGTAAAGAAAGCGAGTACACAAGTAATTACATTTATAGTTAAAGTTTGACAAAATTCTGCTACATGAAAATACTTTTTTTATAATGAGCTTACAACTTTGTACTTTATCTGTGTTTGACTAGGGCCTCTTATTTTCTGTTCCCTTAATCTTTCCTGAAACTGATTTTTTTGTGTGCTAATGTGTTTCAAAAGGAGATGTTAATAAACCTTTAATAACATACCATATCTTTAACTTTTTATCTTTGTAGGCACAGGCAGCCACCTCGTGTAATAAACATGGCAGATCTCCCCTCACGATTGAGACCAGCAACAAGGGAAGCAACTCCCACAGAGAATACACCAGTAGACATAGAAGAGCAGAAGCGTAGACTTCTAGAGCAGAAAGAGAAAGAAAGACAGCTAGAAATTGTCAAGTACGTTACAGATATTCTCAATAACTAAAATTATCACCATGTATTTGATTCAATTTAAGACAGATTGTGATTTCTTAGATGATTTATTATTCTGATGTGACACTCAACTTGTCAGATGCTTGTTAATGTAGAAGTCATGTGTTTATAGTATTGCTTATAGTGATTTGAAACCTGCATAGATTTTTTATAACAATTGAAATTATGCTCCTATGTAATTAATGGTCACTTAAATTACAGAATGTAAATTGATTTATTTCATGACTCATTAGTACTGACATTAAGGCTTCAGTTGAAATTAAAGCAAGATTTGTGCTTATATACTTATTTAACGATATGAATTAATATCATCAGAATGTATTTGTTGGAGCATATATCTGTAGATATCTGTTTTCAAAAAGACCCTGTAAATTTATTTTGCATAACTGGGTCTTGAGGCACAAAGCAAAAGAATTAGTAAAATCATTTGCAAATGAGCAAAATTTTACAGAGCAACAATTCAGTAAAATAGAAATTACGAAAGAGCAAAGTTTCAGGTATTTTGCATTTCAGGAAATTACGTGAACAGAGGGAAAGCGAGAGACAAGCCAAACTGCGTTTACAGAAACGTCTCGATGCTCTGAAACCCAGTGCTTCAGTCAGTGGTAGACAGGATCCTGCTGAAAATACTCCTACTGTATTTGAGCTGGTAAATGTCAAGTTATATTATTTATTATCATGTGGGCAGCAACTGATAATATATTGTTTCCTACTGCCGTTTATTACTGTTGTTCAGAGATAAGTTGTCCACACAACCAGCATAAAGTTGATCTTGTAGTTCATTATTATAATCTAGTTTGATCTTCATCTGTCATCGAAATATAGTATTTACTTATGGAAAAGATGCTGATTATATGATATTATATGTTAAAAAAGTTAATTTTCAGTCTTACTTGCTTGTACGTTAACTAGCAGTAGTACAAAAAAGTGTTAAAATCACTCACTTGCCCCTCACTGCTGTGAGTTTGAATCCTATCAGGGACCTCTGATTCTTCCGTGTGAGGAAGCTATCAAGCTAGCATATGGAAGGTCGGTTCTACTTGGTGCCCACTTGAGCCTGAAGAAATGCACAAAAGGGCCTTTACCAGCAAAGTTGGTAAATTTCTGTATGACCTTAACAATGTCAGTGAGACTTAAATCCAACAAAACAAACAAAAAAGTGGTACAAGTCTATCTAAAAAAGTTGCTTTTCAACCTTAATCATTTGCTATATGACTTAGATCAAACAAGCAAAAGATTTTTTCTTCTATTAAAGGAAGCATCATATGAACCAGCTCCCCGTAAACTGCCCCCAGTTCTATCACAAGATACAGATACTGTTCTACTTACCATACACCTGTCCTCAAATGGAGAGATAGTTCTTCACAGGGGTAGTGGAAATAAAAGTGTTGATACAGGTAGGTAATCTCTGTTTTGTGTTTAACCCTTACCAAGCTAGATATTTTATATGGACTTGTCCATCTTTCAATCTGGACAAAACCATTTGTCATTTTAAGGGAATTATTCAAAATCTATATTTACTGAATAGAGAACACAGAGACAAGATAGCACAGATATTTATAGCTATCCATGATGTGGCTGCAGGCTAAGAGTTAAATATGGACTGGCTTTCATTAGCATGGCAATTCATGGAATTGGAATTTTGGTATGTGTTTTGTGAGGCAGCTATTCATCTAGCTTACCAATGAGGTGGTTCTACTATGATGCCTGTTTGTACCGAAGGGGGCACCTGAGGTTTTCCCAAGTTTGAAAATTTTCATATTACTTTAATAATGTTGTATCTTAAAACCCAACAAAAATCAGAATGTAAACCAATCATCTTACTTACTTTGTAAAACAAGGTGACTTTCGTGATAAGAAGTTTAGTGTAATGTTGTTTTGCATCTTAATTTCAATTATAATGCCAGGTTAGTTCCTTTAAATGGTAGTATAGTGCATGTTTTGAGTTGGGAAATTTATTAAAATAATATCTTTACTGATTTTTACATTAAAGGCAGTGGTTTATCAGCAAGCTACACAGCATTATTAACCTGGCTTCTAGCTCTTGTTCCGAGTAGCTTCAACTACCTTCAGGAAGGTGGTGTAGCTGAGCCATCTACACCATGGATACTGCCATTCTATGTGATTGGTCTACAACAGGTGCTTCTTGATGGTCAGTTGTGCCTCATTGTAGCCGTCACTCCAGTAGAGCAATTTGATGCTAAATTTATACAAGGAAAATCCAAGAAAAAATAAGGTTTGTTTTGAATATTTTTTGTTAAAGACTATT